ACACACACACACACACACACACACACACACACACACACACACACACACACACACACACAAAGAAGAGACACGTTCAACATGAGCACAATGCAGATGGCGAGATCAAAAGCACAATGTAAAACCAAAAAAAAAAAGACGTGCATAAACAGGACAGTGTGACACGGAGATGGCTTTTGTGGATGTGGATGTGTTGGAACTGATCTGGACTCTGAGAACCAACGTTTGGATCCTGCTGGTTCGGAGCGCCAGCTGTGTTCGTGTTAACGCAGAGAAATCGACTCGGCACTAACTTGGTTTGACGTTGACAGACATGGCRGTCTTCTGAACGATGGTTCGGATCCTTGGAAAGGAAGCGAAGCAGCAGTAGTCCCTCCTGCTGTCTTTCTCCACCGCGTGAGAGAAGTAAAGATCTCCGTTCAAGCCCGTGGACACCCTCTCATCCTGCTCGATGTGCCGCAGATCTGAACACGTGAAGAGAAATATAACGATCGCTCACTGACAAAGGGGAGAGTTTGGCAATAATGGTTTTGTTTTTGTATGCACGTGTGCTTCTTGTCTGTACTGTTTGCAAAATGTCTCGAGAAGAACTGGATGAATTTGAATGAAACTTTCAGAAAGCCATCAAAAGGCAGACATCCACAACTGATTCACTTTTGGAATCAATCAGCTAAATGTACTTAAAGCACATAACAATGGCTAAAACTTAGCCTGGCCCTTGCCTTCCTACAGGCTCTGTCACACCATGACGTTTTAGACAACTTCTGAAAATATTAAAGAAATCGACATTGAAGAGAGCCTCATTTAGGAGCGTACATACTGTAATGCTGACAAACTGATCAAATGTATAACTTTTATAAAAGTTCATAAGTTGTCTAAAACGTTATCGTGTGACACGGCCTTACACAGTTCTGCTCAATTCTAGTTTCCCTTCTCGGCCCTGTTTGAGCTTTCTCCCATAGACAAGGATTTCTCCAGTATCACACATCAGCAAACAGAGAGAGGAGTTGTGAACGACAACGTTGATTTTCTGTGCTGTTTTAGTCTGCCTGTAGTTYAGCAATGGCAGMGGAGGAAGTGGATGAAGGCAGTCTGTGTTGACAAGGCTTCCAAATTAAATTAAATTTTTCTCACAAAGCCTGCAGCTCTCATTTACAGTCGTCTCATTCAGCTCRATACTTCTCTCTTCCCAGTAGAGGATGGTTGTTTACAGCGCACGCAATTTCCTGTTAGCTTYTWMGCTTAGTTGAGATCAGCTGAGCTGCTGTACTGCATACCAACTGATTGGGTAAATCAGATCCAATCGTTTTAAACTTCACGCCTCCAACAAGAAACTGTTTCTTAATAGCTGAGGGTCCAGACCCTCTGTATGAATCAAAGTTTAGAAGAAGGGGCTGGTTTTTACCAGGCTAGCTGATAATTATCCTTAGCGGATACTTTAAGTGCTAACTTTAAAGCTTTGCTGTTGTCAGAGTCAACTCTGATTGATGACAACTACTAGATACATTTTAAAAAGTTACTTTCAGAAAGTTATCAGTGGGTGAACAAGTACAACTTATTACATTTCAGAGTCAACCCACGTCAAGATAGTCACCACGGGGTTAGTGACTGAGAGTCATCCCCAACAGATGCTTAAAGCTCTACATCTTTGCCTAAAACTGTGGTTTGTAAGTAAATATCTCATGATGATTTTATATTTTTTTATAAACTCTCCAAACATACTCACTTGTAAAAGAGACAATTCAAAATGGCTGCCACATCTACATTTACAACCAAAACATTAGGGGTACAACGATACAGAAAATTCAAGATTCGGTTTGATGCTCTCGTCTCACAGTTTGATATTTTTTCACTACAAAGGAAATGTCCATGCCCTTATTAACTTGTAATTTGTTTAAATTAATTATGAACATTTGTTTAACCTCAAAAGTACAGTTTTTTTAAATAAATGTTGCTGAAACAGCAAGTTTCTCTGTGGATCTGCGCTYAAAAATGCAGCCTAGGTGGAGTAGTCGAACACAGATCCACTGATCCTTCAACACAGAGCATCTTCAGAAGACAAGTTGATAAAATGAATTTTAAAAATCTGTATTCTTCCATACACAGTGTATATTGAACCTAAAGCACTGTATTGAACAGCTCGTTACAGTTACATCGTTACACCCCTACAAAAGATAGTTCACAATTACAGATAAGGAGGTAAAAATTAAGTGGGAGTAACTGTGTTCCTCAACTCATCCTCCAACATTAACACAGCTCACAACATGTGGGTTAAAAGTCATGAAAGGTAGCGGGCAATTAGCATTTCTTCCAGGCATGTGAAACATTTAATTGTCCTTGTTTTGCCTTCGATTTTAGATTAAGTCTTGTAAAGTTGCATCAGCAAACCCTACGTCTACAATCACTTAAAACTTTAGGTGTATTTGGCAAGATAGCCAAAATTTTAAACTCTGTTCATGCAACTTTGCAGCTTGTTTTCTGTATCACCTTGTTCCAGCTCTCTACTAACACTGCAGTTAAATATATACTTTAAACTCCAACTTCCTAATTATATTCATTCTGACAAAAATTCAGCCAAACATCCTTAGTGCCCACGGCAATGTGAAGCTCTCAAAATCGGATTTAGAGTTAGGAGTTTCTCTGCACAGCGTGACTTTGTAAGCACTACTAAATATTCAGATCAGAGATGTTTAAAGGAATTAATCCTGGAGATCAGGAGAAGTGATGTTTTGAATATGAAAACATTTAAACATGAGTCAGTTGATATACTGTATGTGAGCTGTTACTTACTGATGGTCATCCAGTAGATCTGCAGAGGAGGTATACCTTTGGGTGGGTCACATTTCAAAATAAAAGGCTGGCCTTCATCCACCTCAACAGGATTTAGCTTTTCTTTAGGAAATTTAGGGTTATCTAGGGACAAAGGCAGAAAAAAGACATTATGTGATGTCAAACATTAACACAATCAAATCTGCAGCTCTGCTGTTTTCCAAAAGAGGGCAGTAGTGTTCTGAAATTAAATGTTAAGACCATGGTTTCTGAGATCTGTACAAAATAATTCAGAAGATTGAACCTTTTCTCATTTATTTGCAGAAAAACCCTCAGACATTTTTTTATCATAGCACATGGCCCTGTCATCACTGGCATTCAGGGCCAAAAGGCAAATCAATGAAAAAAGATGAACAGGCTAAATCTTAAAGTTTAGAGAGCTACAGATAAGATGCTACAGTGAGCTCATAGTCTCACTAACTTTCTGTCTCTTCCACAGATTCTTACATGTTGCCTTTAGAAAACTCCATGAAAGTCAGACTTAAATTTTCAAAAGTTTCTTTAAATGTTTTACGTTCCTCCTGATACTAAAACTTTAAATTTCATCTTTATTTCTGTTTTTAGGTGTTTTTTAAGCTTCATGCTGAAAACTTAAGCTGAACGCTGCTGAAATTGAGCTAAAAATATCTAATAGCAAGTTAAAAAATGAAATGTTGAAAGAGGCAAAAAAGACTAACTGCAGAAAAACAGTAAAAAAAAGAGGAAAACAGTTAAAAAAGCAGAAAACAGCTAAAAGCTAAAATAGCTGAATCTAGCACAAAACATCCATAAGAAGTAGTTTTTGCATGAACACAAAATATGCACTCTAGTGTCAATTATTTAACAAAAAAAGCTTAAAAGATTTAACATCAACACAAAATCTCAACCAAAGCATATAAAATTCAACTAAAAGAAATATAGTGCAAGATGTTAACA